GACGCTCTTCCGATCTCCCCAAAACCCCAAAACCCCACGAGATACAAACTGAGATAAATGTGATGAATTTCATTAGATTGCATGTATTTAAAGGATCTAACTTAATTATAAATAAAAATAAGAATTTATAACTACCTATATACAAAATCAAATGGATATTGATATGGAAATTAGACAAATGGATCATCTTGAGGAACAAGTTATTGTGGACAGCTAGATTGAAGTTCCATTAGAAATCCAACCTAAATTTATTAAATCAGGCTCTCTTAATCCAGAAGATGAGCCTGAATCTGTAATGATAATTGATACTTCTACTAAATAAGAGGAAAACTTAAAGACATGCAAACTCTGCAACCTCGGTATCCAAGAAGAAGATCTTACAAATAATTAAGTGATTGACTTTACATTAAGCGACAATTAATGCTTTCACATTTACCACAATAACTGCTTAAAATCATTTATGCTGTTCGAGTATACTTCAATGAAGGATGACCACTTTAAATTCTAGTGCGAAATGTGCTGTTTAAAAATATCTGACAAATAGATCTCAGAATTGCACAGAAACTACAAAGTGGAACAGGAACTCTAAGATAAACTATACTAAGAAAGCCTCAAAGTTATTCAAGCTAAAATGCAATAAGAAAAAGAAGAAAGAGAGATGAAAATTCAGCTAATGAAATAATTCAACCTTGTTGAATGCAAGTGTGGAGCAATAATGGAGGTTGAAACTGTAAATCCTGATTTCACTTAAAAAGATAAGCTCGGTAACAAGATATCAGAATAATCTGCTCATCATATGAGCCAGCACAGAATTAGATGTTACCAGTGCAGTCAGAACTTTTGCACGGAATGCTCAGTCTATCCTTATCACTTAGGCTACACTTGTGAGACCTATCACCATTATTTAAAGACTAGAGAGTGCCGATTCTGCAAGCAAAACTACAAGGATTCATATATTTCAGAGCATGCAGTGTTTGATGATGTTTGCATTGGTTGTGCTCAATATGCGGAGTAATCCTGCCACAGACAGTATTATGAATGCAATCATAAATGCTACGGAGCAAGAGGTGAAGAGAATTGCCTCCCTTGTCTTCATCCAGAATGTGTTGCCAAGAACGAAGCAAAGACTCTTGGATCTGACATGAACAGTACTTGCCCAGTGTGCTACACTGACACATTCAGCTAACGTGCCTCTATCTAGCTAAAATGTAAACATATCTTTCATAAAAGTTGCATCAAAACTCTACTTGAAAATTAATGGTAGAGTGCAAGAGTATCATTCGGGTATCTAGACTGTCCTTGCTGCGGAGTATCAATGGAATGTAAATACGAACCAGAGATAAATAAACTCATCGTTCGTTCATTGATGATGGGGTGTGGCTTTTTGAGAATGTCAGAAAACAGGCTCTAGAAAGAGCAGTAATAGAGGGCATTGACAAAGATGAAAGACTAGCAAACCCAGAAGATAGATTCTACAATGACCTTCAGGAATATGCCCTCTATAAGTTAGCTTTTTATCAGTGCTTTGATTGCAAAAAACCATATTTTGGAGGTAAAAGGGATTGTGAATAAGAAGCATTATAAGAAAATATACCAAACAAAGAGGACTATAAATGTGGAAGATGCAAAGCTTTAACTTTCAAATCAGGTATAACTAATTGTGATGTTCATGGAGAAGATTTTATAGAATACAAATGCTAATATTGCTGCCATGTTGCCTTATGGTTTTGTTGGGGCACTCACAGATTTTGTGAGCCTTGTCATGACGATGCTGCCAATGGTCATAATGAGGTGGTACCTTGCAAAGGTTCAAAAGAATGTCCTTTAAATGGTCATCACAACACTAACGGACAAGAATATGCAATTGGCTGTAGATTATGCAGAAATGATTTTATAGAATAGTAAAATATATAACTATGATGTTCAAACTTAGAAAAATCAGCCATAGTTATTGAAAAATAGAATTTAGATATTAAATAATATAGCAGTATTTATCAGTTAATTAATTTAAAATTTAGAAATTATTTTTATAAGCATTCTGGGGTTTTGGGGTTTTGGGGTTTTGGGG